GTGTTAGATGCTCTGGGGATAATGGCAAGCCCCGTCTGTGTGCTTTGGGCCATGTTCCCCTCCACCCAGGGCACGGAGACAGACAATACTGAAGCTGCACTTTTGCCTGTTCATGGTGTTGGCTTCAGTGTGGACACTGCTGTCCCCTGTCGCCACAGCCATCGCAGGCTGGGCTGAAGCGTCCTCTGGTCAGGTCCTGCTGTGGTGTGTGCACATGGAGGAGCAGCCTAGACACCTGTGCCCTGGGCCCAGGCCTCTGCTGTTACATGTTCAGACCAGAATGTTTCTCACTCAGTTGGGCGTTGAATGTGGTTTGCAGTTGGGGCCATTTGTGTAAGCATCTCCCTAGCTTGTGACCAAGTTTTCTGAAACACTGTTGGCCTGGGACATTTCATTTTGCTTCTCTTCTTTCCTGTAAAAAAATGGGAATAATCCTAGAGCCTGTTGCGTAGACTGTGCACAGGAATGTAAGCACCCTTCAGCCTCACGCGAAGCCACCACGCCGTAGGCTGGTTCTCTTCAGGGCCACTCCAAGACTGAGAATGGTTTTGCTCAGAAACAGGTTCTCAGGGAACCACTTCAGGTACCAGGAGAAGTGATTCATTACACCTTCATTAGTCTGGTTCCCTAAATAGGGGATTTTTCCTCCTGTCATTCCTGTGATTTAGGATATGTCCATTAGCATCTGTTCATGAATCACCTCCCTCCTGGAAAACCTCACCAACTATGGCGGTAACATGAGTGTATTTATCATTTACCTGCCCACCTAACTGAAAGCCAGCAGTATCAAGATGGGCTTGGCACTGCAGTAATGTCTGATTGCCAGGTTGACACATCCTTGTGATTGTTTTTAACTTTTCCTCATCGCCACAAGATGGCTGCTAAAGCACCAGGCATCACCTCCCCTCCATTGTTGCATTTAAAGGCCCACAGAAAGGGACAGGGCAGTGTCAGAATTTCTTTGTGGCTCTTTCTTGTTATCAGGGAGGAAAAACATGTCCAGGCATTTGCCCCTCATATATTTTTTTCCAGAATTACATTAGATAGTTGTCCCTAACAGCAGAGAAAGCCAAGGAGGATTGGGACATCTTGTTTTCTTCAACTTGAGGAGTAGGAGGTTGGAGAGAAAAAGAGTTGGGGTTGGCCGTTGGGCAGCTATTGGCGGGGTGTGTGGATAGCCATTCATCATTTAGTAGGTTGAGTCTAGGACGTGGATATAAATCATATTAGCTTTGCAATTACTTAGAATGACAGTGCAGTTTTAGATCCCACATCACTGCTAAAGCTGACCTGCCTTGGTATCGAGTGAGGGCGGGTAACTTAAACACTGTGTGTTGACTTTCTTCATCATCAGGCTCGATCCCTTCGCAAGCTCTCGCTCTGTCACCCAGGAAATACTTTGTAGGTGTCTCAGCTTCCTGCTCAAAACAGGAAGTTTCACACCCTGCACGCGGTATTGTGTGTGACCCCCCCTCCCCCACCAGGGCCTCTGGTTCTATATTTGCCCGTCCTGGTGGAAGAAGCACCCCCGCTGTGATGGGTTTATAATGTCATACAGCTGGTGCCTCGGCCACTTTGTTGCACCAATACTGATCTTTCTCCTTCAGTGGAAGAAGTTTAGGATTTTTCTGGAGAGGGACCCAAGAGCCATCCAGGTGCCTATTCGAGTGTCACCCTCGACTCCAAGAGACGCCAAGTTCTGGGGGTTGCGAGAGCAGAGCACGTTCTGCCGCTGTCTCTGGGGAACACAGTTTATCTGCCATGCGTCCCAAAGAGAGGGCAGCAAGGCCGTGTCTCCAGCTGTGCCGTTTGCCACCAGCGTCTCAGAGTGGGCGTCTTTTTTAATCTGCAGGTGCAACTTCTCTATGCCTCGGTCACTCAGTTGGAGAAATCCAAGATTCTAATCCAAACTCTTTACGGAAATTCACTGATAAGATGCAAAGTCAGAATAAAATGTTCAGGAAGTACTGGCCAGCGGCACTTTAAACGGTAGAGGTATTATTAGTTTCCATTGAGAAGAAAATAAAATGTCGGATTAGTATCAAGAACCTGGAACTGGAAATCAAATAGCCCCCTGCTAAGGATCCGATTCTCACAAACACGGAGGGTTTAGGACACCAGTAAGGCCGCACAGTCCAAGATCTGGTAGCCACTGGCCTATAAGGCCATATAAATCAGTGAGAGTGAGCAGAGAATCCAGAATCCACTTCCTTGGTTGCTCTAGCCTCCCGTGGCTGGTGGCTGCTCTGGTAGCTGCAGCTGGAAAGCACACAAAGCACAGAAGTGCTGGTCGGGCCGCCCTCACCCAGCAGGGGGCACTTGGCGTGACAGAGGTCACGCTTGGAGTGGAGTGAGCATCTGGGGGTGCCGCTGCACCTCCTCTGCCGCCTAGAGCGGCTCACACCTGAAGACATTTTCAGCCCCGAGTATGACCGGTGCTGAGGGCCAGGAGCCTCATCCCGCAGCGTGGCTGAGCCCCTGCGGCTCCATGGTCTCAGATGGAGCTTTAAAGCACCTCCCATTAGTAAGGTGCCAGGCTGGACGTGTTCTGGATAAGGGATCAGCGTGCTGTGGGGTTCAGCCCTGTGGCTAAGTCCTGACAACACTGGACCAAGTCCCATGGCCCTAGTTAGAGGCAAGGGCGGGCCCACTGGGGTACCTGGGAGCGTGGTTGACATTGATGCAGTGGAAGCTGCAGACTTAGGGGGACCATGGTTCCCCTTCCCGCTCTGCCTTCCGCCCTGCCCACCTCTCCCTGCCTCCTGCTGAGTGGAGCGTGGTGTCTTGGGGAGGCAGCTGGCGCATCAATCTGAACACTGGGGCCAGTACTGACATTCCACTGTGGGAGAACTCAAGTGTCAAAATGATGTGTAGGCGGGCGCCGCAGCTCACTAGGCTAATCCTCTGCCTGCGGTGCTGGCACCCCAGGTTCTAGTCCCGGGGGTTGGGGCGCCAGATTCTGTCCTGGTTGCTCCTCTTCCAGTCCAGCCCCCTGCTGTGGCCCGGGAGTGCAGTGGAGGATGGCCCAGGTAAAGACCAGGTGTCCCAACCAGTGCTGGCTTAAAACCTCAGCTCTAACCTGAGCTGCTGGTAGCCCAGAGCAGGTAGGTTAACTTCTCTGAGCCTCATTTGTAAAATGGGAATCATAGCAGAATGCATTTTATAGGGTTATTGTAAAGACTAAGTATGGAGAAAAAATATGTAAAATGACTAGTCCAGTTTGGCATATTAAGTATAAAGTAATTAGTAGCTTCTGTTATTTTTGTTTTGTTACTGTGTTTGTCACCATGGCTACGAGTCCTAAGAAAGGCCGCCCCAATTGATATCAGGTCCCTTCCTGCTCAGAGAGAGGAAGTCAAGGCCCTGGTGTGCCTGGCAGGCTGGGCTGGAGCCAGGGCTCAACGCCAGGCCGGCGGGCAGGACCTGCTCGTTCCACCCCAGCTGAAATGTCCCTGGGTTCCTGTGCAGACCCTCTCCTAGTCACCCTACTTAAATTAGGTTCCACCACATCATGCTATTGTGTTATCATCCCCAAACCGCATCTGCTACCTTCGTAAAATGTGAATTGTGCGACTGTGTTTTTTTCTGGTTAATCTCTCCTGCTAGACTCGAAGTTGGCCTTGGGCATCTGGCACTTAACAATTTATGCTTAGTAATGAGCATTACTAAGGGTTGGGCCTTGGACATGAAGGAAGGAGGCCAGGGATAAGTAAAGCAGCCCATGGATTCTGCCAGTCACTTTGTAACCTTGAGTAAATCGTTTAACCTGGGTCTCAGTTTGCCATATCTGTGAAATGGGGCAAACAGTCTTAAGAACCACACGAGTCGGATACTGTCTTCTGCTTCAATTAGGTAATTAATACATGCTAGCTTTCTATCTCTATTAAAGAACCAGCGTGTGAGCGAAACAAATGGATGGCTGATGAATTTGTAACCTTTCCTACAATCAGTATTTTACGGAAAATTTAGCTACGATGTGTGCCTTATTCAGGATATACTGAGCTCAGTAGATGACCATTTGTAGAATGCTCTGTGTCTCCTAGAATGATTTTGTAGCTGGTCCAGCAGATTTAGACTTTGGCGGGCTGAAGGTAAGGAGATTTGATGAACTGCTAGAAATTTGCGGATGAATGCCAGTGGGTACCTGTCTGTAATTTGTGTATATACATTGATTTTGAGTACATATACATATGTACTCCTGTATTTATAGGTACATGTATTTGTTGTATAAATGTGATGTATTTATATAATATATAGGTATGACGTGTGTGTATAAACATATGAGAGGAGGTGTAGCATAGTGGTGATACGTGTGGGTTCTGGAGACAGTCTCGATTCAGATGCTGCTGTGTAACTTACAAATTGTCCGACCATGGCCAAGGTGCACCCCTGTTTCTACCTCAGTCTCCTCATATGTAAAATGGGGTGATGGTGTTGCTTACCTTAAAGCACTGTACTGGGGATTAAGTGAGCTGACATGTAATGTACCTGGCGAGCAGTACTGGCACCTACGAGGTCTCATGTGGTCAGTATTGTTTCCAGCTTGGCCTGTGGTCTCCCCCCACACATGACTCTAAACGCCATTCAATACTTGTTTCCCCACTGTTTCTAAGGCAGGACGGTTCTTTCTCACTGGTTGCTCTTGGGCTCCCAGCATCTACAGAAAGGACTCAGAAAGTACTGGAGCCAGCAAGTTGGTACTGGCCTGTTAGCAGTGACCCATACAGCCATTTCTCCTTCTGGTCATCAGTGGCCACAGACTTGAGAGTTCCGCCACTCAACCTCTGCACCCCCCAGAGGGTGGGTGTCGTGAGGCTGAAGGATCCAGGTCAGCAGCCCTTGTCTGGAGTCAGGTGGGCCAGCTTAAGGCCTCTGGTGTGCGCCACCTGGCTTATTCACCTCAGCTCCTGGGTTGGTCCGGCTCCGACGCGAACCGCAGCCCCCAGAGGTCGAGAGAAGATTCAGTCAGTCGCTGTTAGATCTCACACTGGGTGTCTTCTAGATCTCTGTGTTCATTTGCTTTGCCATCATCTTGGGTTCTGACTGTGGGTCCTGAGCTGCTTACTTAGTTACTAACTATGTAGCTGATGACCAGCTGATGAATAGGAGACTGGCGGTCCTACAGATTTCGAGTATTAACTGTGGAGTCTGTGGATTTGAGGGATTTTGCTACCCATTTAGGCTAATGGTCATTGTGGACTTGGAGAGCTGCACAGAACACATAGCTATTTGGGGGTCCTGTACTGTACTGCATGGTTGTGAATGACCCAAAGGCAGCTGAGCAAATAGAGGAATTTAACTATTTATTTATTTATTTGAAAGTCAGAGTTACACAGAGAAAGGAGAGGCAGAGAGAGAGAGAGAGAGAGAGAGGTCTTCCATCCGATGGTTCACTCCCCAATTGGCCGCAACAGCCAGAGCTATGCTGATGCGAAGCCAGGAGCTTCTTCCAGGTCTCCCACGTGGGTGCAGGGGCCCAAGGACTTGGGCCATCCTCCACTGCTTTCCCAGGCCACATCAGAGAGCTGGATTGGAAGTGGAGAGCAGCCGGGTCTCGAACCAGCGTCCATATGGGATGCTGGTGCTTCAGGCCAGGGTGTGCTTCAGGCCTGGGCGTTAACCCACTGGGCCGGCCCTGCAAATAGAGGAATTTAATTGGCTCACACCATTGGCAAGAGGAGGAAGACTGCCGTCTACCGCATTGCATTTTTAGGAATTCGTCATGCCTTTGTGCTCACCTCCGTGCCGCCGTGTCCTGGCCTCTTTTCAGCCAATCTTCTCTTGGTGGAAGCAAGCCCAATCCATTCTTGCAGGCTTCAGCTAGCCAGCAGGACAGTCTTGTTCTCTCCCAGTAGTTCCTACAGAACACCAGTGCTTGACTCTCCTTTTCCTGGCTCGAGTCATGTCTATCCATCAGCCAATCAGTGTGGCAGAGTGGAACACACTGATTGGTCAGTCGTGGTTTTTGGCTCCACCCTCTGGGGGCTGGACGATGCACCAGCCTCCTGTAAACCCTGAGGACTGAGTGGGGAATAGGTGTTTCCCTGTGGAAAAGTCAGTCTGGTACCGTCAGTGGAAGGGGGGCGGGCAGAAACGAAGGGTGCCGGCTTTCCTGTTTCCCTTTGATTTTTCCTATGCTGATGACTTGGGGGGAGTCTCATGCCCTGGGGTGTCTCAGTGTTGCCTGCAGAACCACTTGCGGCCCCTCGGCTGCCTGATTTGATTTCCAGCGTCAGCACACCTCTGCCTGCTTCCTTGCAGTCATGATACCCTGCTCTTTCCCCCAGAGGCTGGAGCAAATGGCCTTCTCCCAGCCACAATCAATGGCAGTCCGTAAGGTGTGACAGAGGAGGCCATCTGGCACTTGTCCCACCGTCCTCTCTGCCTGCCGAGGGAAGAGGCCGTTCCAGGCAGAAGGTCGCAGCTCCACAAAGTCCTGCTGTCTCTCGGAAGCGTCACCCCCAGACTCGGGTCTGTGGCACAGAAACGCCACGAGACTCAAACACCTGGCAGAATTCCCCCTTTCCCTTTGTGACATCTCCCATCAGAATCGGGTTGCGGAACAATACAGAATGAAAATGATTTTGGAATAAAATTATAAGTTTGAGTGTTCCGTGCAGTACTTTCCCAAATATTGGATAGATTTTTTTTTTTCGTAAGATGCCAGTGCTGAGATCACTGGCCCATTTCAATTTTTATTGAAACAAATAAACCCAATAAAAACACTTATGCTGAGAGCTGTAGCGCCACAATAAAAGAATCACCCAGTATTGAGTGTATTGATTTATTTATTTACTCCAAGTGGAAAATCGAGTATTGTGTTAATGTATTTTATAAGAATCACACTGCTCGATGAAATGGCTAATTTATTTTAGCGTATACATAAATAGCTAGCAATTTTCCATGAGACAGGCTAATGAAAATGATGCCATGAAATTGTCTATACTATGAGGAGTGACGGAGACGGGTTATTATTGGGTGAGTGCTAAGACGCACTGAACTGGCCATCATATCTTTGAACTTTTGAACTGCTCCTTGTTTCGTGTGATTTATTGATTTTGCTATCTCTCTGTGTAGCTCAACTTAAGTTTTTGCCCAGCAGTGCAGATAAGTGGCATAGGAGATTTAATTTCATGGGTATTTGGGGTTAAAACCTATCTTTAAGAAGAATGCTAAACATGTTTTAATAAAACATGAGTTGCTGGGGTTTTAGGTTTCTGCGTGATATGGATCTGATAAGGAGCAAGGCAGTGTGGAGGCCAATCCAGAGGTTCCAGGCTGGGGAGGAGCTTGCTCTCACTCACTCAGTTCTGCGAGTTTCAGCTGGGCCACGTGCATTTTATTTGCTAAATCAGCCTGGCTTCCTTCTTAATTACATGTATCATTTATTCCCCCCGCCCCGTGCCCTTTGGCTCACGCCGCATGCTTTGCCTCCGTGCCTGGTACAGGGATGGGCTCTGGGTCTCCAGGAGACCACACTGCAGGCCCGAGGCCTCCCTTCCCTGCACACCCAGGGCTGGCTGCCGCCTCTCACCTCTCTCTTTTCAAGCAGCGGGCTCTCACCTGGGGAGGGGCTCGGCCCCCTCCAGATGTGTCTTCTCTGATACCGTGATGGGGGCTGTCCTCCTCCTCGGCCAGCCCTGCCTCTACCGGGCGGAGAGCCGTCCCCTCACTGCCCGGTGCTGGGAGAGCCGTCTCAAGCCTTCCTTTCCATTGCGGGCTCTAGACGTGTAGTATTTTGCGAACCTCCGTCACATCTGGGGGCCTCCTCTTGATTGATATTTTTGTTTCAGGGCCACTTTCTGAGTGTGACCATTTGGTCTTAGGCTTGCCTGTTCATGGGGGTGGGGTGGCCCCAGGAGGTGGGAAAGAGCTGTACCATGCACACGGAACCCTCTAGAGCCCCCAGGTCCCACAGCCTCAGGCATGCGAGCGGGTAAGATTCCTCAGACACAGGACGTGAACGTGGAATGTGTATGAAGGTAGCGGTCTCATTCCTCAAAACTCGGATTTATTTCGAAGGTACTTGTAAGTGATCAAGTAATTGTAGCCTTCAGGGAAAGACTGGGGAGGGGGGAGTGGACATTGGTGAGTGAGGAAGGCTTGGAGCTCTGTGAGGGTTTGAAAATTCATATCCCCTTTAATGATTAAACTGGCACAGTCTTTATTTGGATGTTAAAAGCTTTTTCTTACATTGCAAACATTCTCAGCAAATTTACAGTCAGATATTTGGAAACAGCTAACACTTAAAAAAAAAAGGAGGAGGAGGGCCTGTTTGAACTAGGGAACAAAATGAGTGGGAATGGCTCAAAAGACAGGACTGACCCCAACACCATTAGCTGGAGAAAAAAAAAATTCCATTTCATTGCAACTATGTTATTGTTTACTTTACCATACACATCCTAATATGGTTACCTCCCTGGCGGAGGCGGCCAAGCCCAGGGGTTGAGAGGCCCCCGCCGGGAGAAAGCTCCTAACCGCTTCTCAGACAATAAGAAACAAACGGTACAACTCCACAAAAGGCTGCCCGGAAAATAAGTGTCAAATAAATCCTACAGAACTCTCGCTTCTGCCACCGAGCTCTGTCTATGCAAACCTGTTTTCATGCCTTCGCTGCCCGGATTGAGCCTCGTTTGTTTGGAAATGTAAGCCACTGCCTTTTCTTCTTTTCTTTTCTGTTTTTTTTTTTTTTTTTTCTTTTCCCTTCTCCTCATTTCATGTGAGGGCTCTGGATTAATTCCTTGAGACATATCTTTGCATACATGTCTCCTGAGTTATGTTTCCTGGAGCCTTTTACTAGGAACATTAAGGTAAGAATGTTGATTTAGCCTGGGACCTTTGTCACTCAAACTAATGCTCATCAGGGATAGAGACATTGTAAAGAAATATTGCAGAGGTCTCTGTGGTCCCCCTCCCAAACAGAGAGGTGCAGTGGCTTTTAATTGTCATGCATGGATTGGAGGGGGGGGGAATGCCACCAGTTGTAGATGAGCTGGAGCCGAGGTGTGTACTCACTGGTGTAAACACTGCTGGAAACACCCCGTTCCTGGCAGCCGCAACAGTTTCATTAGAAGGCTTTTTCCTCTTCTTTCTTCCAATTCTTCTCTACTTGGGTTTTTTTCTTCTTTTTCTTGTTCTCTTTCTTCAACTCTCCTGCTCTTTTCTAAATCCTCATGGTCTTCAGGCTTGCCTGTTATTATCTGCAACTCCAGAACAAAGGTAGGTTGCTCAACTCTGTGCTCCGGGGGAGGGCCAAGTTATTTTGGGAGGGATGTCTTCCTAATGCATGAGTGGTTGACCTAAAAGGGTGGGGGGGAGGGCGACTGCGAGATCATGCTTGGAGCCAGAGACATGAGAGCACACAGGCGCTAAGGCAGCTTTTATGTAGTGGAGTTTATTTTTTTGCAACTTAAAGAAGCGGCAGCATCTCTAGTAAAATGGACCGGTTAGTTCTTGATTCTACACTGATGTACATTTCACTACCAGGCTGGGATGCAGATGTTTGAGGATGCTTGAGTTTATGACAGCAGATAAGATTTCTGGGTTAGGGTCTGCAGTGAGGTTTTGTTTTTTTTTTTTTAAATTAAGTCAAAGATCTAGAATTATTTTCTTTTACATTTGCATGTAAAGGTGTATTTGAGTGACTGGCATATGTACTTTTTTCTTTTGGTCTAATTGCTTTAATTCCCTGGACACTTTCACTTCTCAATTATTCTGTTCTTTAATTTTGCCTAATCTGGTGCTCTGTTGGAGCCAAGTAGAGGTTTGCAGGTTTTTTTTTTTTTTTAAACTAATTGTGCTTTGCTGGGTGGCAATACAATAGCAAGAGTAAAGACCACAAGAAATTCATCTCCACCTGAAAAGGCGACTGGAAGAGAGTGGTGCAGATGCATAATTGAAAACAAGAGCAAATTAAGCCTTGGTGAGGGATATTACAGGCTATTAATCATAATAAATATGTTTGGCAACGGTGTGTTTGCATTCTATAGTTTTCAGTTAAAAAAAAATCGAAGTCAATGGGAAGGAGAGGGAACAGTTCTTTGGCTTGTGAGATGCTGGGTCTGTACTTGTTCATTAGTTTAAACTGCATTAAAAGTGAGCAGTTTGCTCCAGAATCAAGCGTGTCGTTCCCAAGCAGATTTGAATACATTCCCGTCCAAATGCAAGCTCGAGTTCATGCCACAGTGCTTGGCTTTTTCTGAGCATCTCAGCTTCAGCGCGGAATCGGAGTGCTAAGAATTGTATTTTACGTTATTACTCTGCTCGCTCCTTCCTCTGTCTTTCTTGGCTGCGGATCCTCTCTGTGCACGCACTGTAGCCCTGTCAAGGTGAAGCCCTTTGAAAAAAATAGAATTCCAATGTATTTCACTAAAATGAGCTTGAACAGCCCCAAAGTTTGTATCTGAGAGAGCCGCTAATTATGCTTGTCGTGAAACATAGCCGAGTGGAGGGTTCTGAGTCCATACAGGATCGAGGGCTGCTTTAGAAACAGAACTGTGGTCTGCGCTTTTAAAGAGGTTTATTTTTACTTTGGGGCCACGGAGGGGGTGATATTCAAATTTTACAGGGATTTATGTTAGAACGTGGACTGGCGGGCGGCTCTTTCCTCATCATGAATCCTCCCTGCACATAATGAGGCTCATCATTAGTTGATGGAGTGAATTTGCCCTAGCTCTACCTTGAAAGGCACGCAATTTACATACTACTTCAGAGCCTAAGCTTTAATGGATTCCTCGATGAATAAAATGAAAAGCTACTTTCTTTAAATTTTTGAACACTGTTTAGATAATACGATTTTAATAAGACATTCAATTTGGTTGTTAAGTATATTTGAAAGTGCCTTTTTTTTCCCCCTCCCTTTTGGGGCAAAATATATTTTGGCTTGCCTTGCTGTGTGTCACAGTGGTGGTTGCTCTCACTGACGTGTCACAGGACATATGGGGGGCATTGTCAAGAGATGGGGAGAATCTTGAGCGGGGAGCCCTTTTGCATGTGAGCCTTGAGATGATTGACAAGCCCTTTGGTGTGGACACTCCTCTCCCGTGAAATGGTTACAGCAGAGAGGTTTGGAAACAAGCGTTATGACGAGTAGCTGTTATTAGCACCGCACATATACAAAATGAGCGCGGTTGCCGACTCCAGCCAACATCGACAGCCTAGCTGCTTGCTTCTCCCGGTTTATTTTCATGATTGAAGAGCAGGAAGTTCCCGAGTGCAGCTGCGTGTTGGGAACTGCTGTGTAGCTCCGATTCCACTAGGAGGAATCGCGTTGGAGGCTGCGAGTTTGTTATCAGGTCATCAACTCAGGAGCGTTCTGGTCTACCCCATAAATTCAGCAAGTTTTCTGCCTCTGTCCCTCCCCTGTCCTTTGGTTGGCATGGAGAGAGAATCGGCTCTGACTCGGCGTGATTGGAGCAAGGATGTCTTTGGAAGAAGGATGTGGGTTTCGTAGTAGCACGTTATTGAACATGTCCTTTGCTTGTTGGAGACAGGTCACCTCACATTGTTAGCATCGCTGCGAAGGGAAGCAGGTTTCTGGTGGTTTGTCACTTCCCAGCAGCAGGGAAAGTGTCTAAATATAAGCGAAGCCTTGTTTTGATAGAATGTTTTATTACCTGAAAATGATCAGCATATATTAACATTAATAGAATAGTCCATGTCATTCTTTTTTAGGTAATTTACCTCTGCTACAGACCTGTCTGCTTTAAAAAAAAAATCTTCCTCTCTTCTAAAACATATATTTGTTTAGAGAGTTTTCACTGAAGTGTACATGACAATTACAGCTGTTCATTAACAAAATTGGGTATTTGTTTTAAACTTTAACCAATCACTTTGATATGCTAATTATGGTGTAATTTAATTTGAGCCCTGTAATGATGATGCCGTTATTATGGACATAAATGATGCAGTTAAGCTGAGAGTAATCTCATTTGCATACTGTACATGCCAGTAAATTAAGCCCTTTCTTCGACTGCTTCAGCTTTAATTTTCCACTTCTTTTCACACAGCTCCTTTTCAGCCCCTCTCTTAGAAGCCCACTTTGTAATAGTCCTGATGACTGTTTGATGTGAAGAGTTTCGGCACCACAATAATGCCCGACAGAAGATGTAACATTTAAAGGGTTCATTATCTTGCTGAATATTCCTTTAAGAAAGAAGGATCAGAAAGGGTGGAGGGGAGACCAAAGTGTCCTTGCCGTGGGATGTGACAGGTCCCCGTGTAAAAGCGATGTGACACCGAATCCTCCCCACTCACCCCCAAGTCAGACTTGGGACCTTTTATTTCTAAATGATGTTTTGTTTTTCACAGCATAGGGTCACAAATTGTGTTACATTCAGCAGCAGTGAGTTTCATATGAGCCCCTATTGTAGACATTGGAGGTAACATTTCATTTCACCTGAATATTAAGATTCTTCCAATCTAGACCTCAATAGAGGAGATTATCATTTCTAACAATTTCAAGACACAATTCCAAAAGGAGGTCCCCCCCCCCCTTACTTGGATTATCAGAAAGTCACACGTTTGATCATCCAGTTCTGAGCCTGGTAACACTTTGCACGAGGATGCCCCTCGGTGTGCAAGCCCAGAACGGCAGCCCTCCTTCGGCGAGGAGAGCGGCCGTGTGCCTGTTGATGGCCTTTGGCTGCTAAACTGCCTTTTCATTTTCACCAAAGAATGCAAGGAGCAGAACGAAGGGCCTCCGAGACAGGAGCAGATTCTCCCCGGGGCTCTCTCTGCTGAAGCCAGTGGGAGTTGAGTGGGTGTAACTGAGGACTGAATTTAGCACTGTTTTTAAAAGGGTCAGAGGCCTAAAAATAGTTCAAGCTGTTTGACTCCCCTGCAGGCTACTTCCTCGGTGAATGGAAGAATATTAAAAAATAGTAACCCGCCGCATCCATCCTCACGGCTTGGGGTCGGGAGAGCCTTGCTGTATTTTGCTAAGCTCCCGGTCCTGTACCTCTGGACCCCCAGTTCTTGACACTTGGTTTCCAGCCCTACGGCAAGCGGTTCTCTGAAAGGAGGCTGCCTTTTCCCAGACATTGGCAGGTGGAAGTGTCCTGGTATCGTACACTTAGTCTGGTGACAGTGACAACTGGAATATGGAATTTTTGCGCAACTCTCGAAGTCTTGATGGAGGTGAACATCTCCCACTTGTTTTTGAATCAAGCGAATGATGCCTTGTTGTTGACCCAATGTCAGAGTGTTTGTTCTGAAGCAATTTAAACTTACAGAAAAGTGTAACCTTTAAGAGAGTGATTATATTGTCCCTTTACATAATTTTAAAAGTGCCACAGGATGCAAAGGTGTATAAAAAGCTTGTAGAAATCCATAGGCAGGCCATAATTTCATATCCAATATTGCATTTTTAAATATTTGTTGGTTTACTTGAGAGGCATAGTTACAGAGAGAGAGCTGGGCTGATCCAAAGCCGGGAGCCAAGGGCTTCTTTTGGGTCCCCCACGCAGGTGCAGGGGCCCAAGCACATAGGCCATCTTCTGTTGCTTTCCCAAGTCATCAGCAGGGAGCTGGATGGGAAGTGGAGCATCCGGGACTCCAACTGGTGGCCATATGCGATGCTGGTACTGCATGCAGATGCTTAACCTACTATGCCACAGCGCCAGGCCGTTACATATTTTTTATTTTTTTTAAAGATTTATTTATTTGAATGTCAGAGTTACACAGAGAGAGGAAAGGCAGAGAGAGAGAGAGAGAGAGAGAGAGAGAGAGAGAGAGAGAAAGAGAGGTCTTCCATCTGATGGTTCACTCCCCAGATGGCCGCAATGGCTAGAGCTATGCCAATCCAAAGCCAGGAGACAGGAGCTGCTTCTGGGTCTCCCACATGGGTGCAGGGGCCCAAGGACTTGGGCCGTCTTCTACTGCTTTCCCAGGCCATAGCAGAAAGCTGGATCAGAAGTAGAGCAGCCGGGTCTTGAACCAGCATTCATATGGGATGCTGGTGCTTCAGGCCAGGGCGTTAACCTACTGTACCACGGCACCGCCGCGCCTGCCCCCCCCTTACATATTTTCTTTTAAAAAAGTAGAACTTTTTGTTTTTTATACAGTTGACTGAAATAAGAAAAAAAGATTTTATGTAATATTGTTGAAAATTTTAATGTTTATTATATAATATATACTAAACTTTGTCAGTTCAAACCAAGTCCCTAAGTAAATATTCCCAC